GGAGCAAACTCCCCTGGCCCAGCTCTCATTGATATCCCTGACAAGGGTGATATTCCCCTTCAATGCGTGAGAAGCTGTCTTTTCCTTTCTCAGGAAAGATTTATTAACTCTGTCTCTGCCATCCCCTCCCAAAGGCTCAGGAGACTCACTAGACACAAGTAACTGGTAACACCTCACTCCTGTTCCTCAGTGTGTCCTGTGAGGATCAGTCTTTTTCCCATGATCACTCCTAGACTTGCCATCCCCTGGCAGGCCTAAACTTTAGGCCTGCTTGAAATCTATACCTACAGCTTCCGTAAGTGGAATATTTATTTTTTATATTGAAACCAGAAAATTCAGCACAACTCTCACAACAGATCATTTATCCATCCTACCAGGGGGAAGACCATGAAGACACTATGTTCTGGAATACAACACCCAAAGCATCTCTCAAGAAGTTGTTCTCAAAAGTTATTATTATGAAAATATTACTGAGGAAAAATGCTCTTTTATTTTCATAAACTGTCTTCAAAGTTTATGAGAAATGTACACTTGGGAAACACACAAGGAAATAGATAAATTAATTAAATAATGAATAGGAAAAGGTCAAAACATTGATAGACCAGTAGGAAATTAGAAACAGATCCTATTTTAAAAGACTGTAAATGTATATGTGACTTAGAATTGATAGATAGGGGGTCTTAGAATGTGGCTTCTGTACATTGCTTTGGTATTTTAATCTTTTTGAATTCCTGTAATTGTATATGGTCATGATTTGCAGTGTGGTGTGGTCAAAATATTTGCCCCAATAAGGGACTATGGTGGAAGGCCTGCCTGTTTCACAAATTCATGTTCCTGCAACCCCTATCAGCAGAGAAGTCTCTGACAAAAAGCAACACAATAGGGAGTGAATATCTGGATCCAGCTGGTGAGCTTTTCCAGCTATATCTCTCCTCGCCTAAATTGTTACGTTTGTAAAATTTAAACTGTCACAAATACGTGGTGCAATGGAATGAACACTATCCTGGAATTTGGAAGGCTCAGAGTCTAGTTCCAGCTCAGCCACTGATTAACCATGTCACCTCTTTTAGCCTTAGTTTACTCATCCATAAAATAAAGTCATCCAAAAGAGGTTGGAACTAGAAGGGGCCTTGGAGATTAGGGTGTGTCAACTTCTAAATGGGGTGCATATCCCCACTTCCAAGAGAATTTCACATAGTGACACTTTCTGAAATTTTGATTATGAAAACAATACATATGATAATTATGCTTTTTCAAAACATATTTTATTCCTCACCATTCTGATATCTATCTGCACTCCCAGTCCCAACCGCCACCCTCAGGCAGTTGAGAACCATTGATCTAGGTGGTTACAATTATTCCAGCCACTCTGGTATATCTTTTTGGTCCTATCATTGTGGCCCATTCTTTCTTTACCTCTAGGTACCCTCAGGGTCTTTTTCCTTTCTCACTGAATCCATCCTTATTTGGGTCCCATTTTCTCCTGGGCTGACTAGAGCTGCCCACTGTTCTATTCTAAAAGTCTTTGCTAACTTAAACTTCCTAAAGATAAGCTCCACGTATCTCACCTTCTCCTCCTCTGCTGCCCTTGTCAAATTAAGTACAACCTAATTGGTCTGGATTTCTCAGTGTGGTTTCAGCTACCTTCCTAGCCTTATTTCATTCGTTATCCATGAGTGTCCTGGGCTGTAGCCTAGATTACTCAGTGTTCCCTGAAGGTAGCTCTCTTGTCACTACTCAGAGCCCTCCTCCTCTGTCAAAGCTCAACCCATCTTCCAAGACTCATCTCAACCACTTTCCTGACCTCTAAGATAGATGTGCTACCTCATTTCTTTGAATGTCTGTGGGATTTTGTTTATACTTAGCTATGTACTTGTCATACTTCATTAACAGTTAGAAGGTTCTTGAGGATGGCAGTTGTATTTTATACAGCTTCATATGACCAAAAGATCCTAATACAGCAGTGTTTTCAAACTTTGGACCATGACCCACACCAAGGTATATATTTACATTGTGACCTAGTATATGCATGTGCATAGGCATATTTATAATTAAAACAAAACATTCATAACAGAATAAATATTCTTATTGCATTTGATGCACTCTGATATTTTCTTTTTTTTTTCTGTTCTATTTCGTTTCTTTTAATGCTAGTCTAAATTGATTTCACAACCCTTAGTCACAGTTGTAAACAACACCATAATATAGCACATTGCACATAGTAGGTGTACTGTTGTATATATTTAATTAAATTGACTGGCCTTTTGCCAAAATCATTATAGAAATATTACTGATCTGTGAATCTATTCGGTTAATCCATTTTGATATATTATGTTTATTTAGATTTTAGTTTCACACAGAAAAGTCTTTTATATTCTCAAAGTGATGCTGTTTTGATTGTAATTTTGTGTGAGCAAATGATCTAAGAAAGCAAATGCAATTCATTTTTATCCTTTTTTTTTGTGTGTGTGAGGAAGATCAGCCCTGAGCTAACATCTGC